GTTGGAAGTCGGATGCGGTCAGTGCGGTGGAATCGATTGGATTTTGAGGTAAGCAGTGATTAGAAACAATGGAAGCAGGCATGCCGCGAGGCTGTTCGTTATGTTTTCCAAGAAAGGCACACCTTTCAGAGAATATATTTGCCTTCTTGCTTCAAATTACGCTGTTACGCCTATCAGACTTATTCATATTCAAGGGGGAAGATATTTAGAGCATGCTTAGCAAATCACTCCAGCTTATTTTTGCTCTTTGATTCAAGAAGGCCAAAAATGTGCGTTAACTCGACTAGTGGCTGGACCCGAAAAGCCGCACTTCTCGAATTTTAATTGCATCTGTTCAGTGGCTAAGCAAATATGTTAAAGGAAGATATAGAAGCAAAATATCTTTTGTTTTTGTTCGAATAGTGCATGAGGATAATTTTGAGAGAAGCTAGAGGGTTGGAGATTACTTAAAAGCATGACATATATGTACATATATATATATAATGTCTGACCTATCGTATCGTAACACCTGTTAAGCAGTACCGCCCGTGCAATATGGATCCAATGTATGACTCGGCGACGACTACGTCAAACTCTTCGGCCCTGAACTGCGCGTTTCCGGTTCATTTTTCCTCGTATTCATTGGAAGGTGGGAACATTTTATACGTGACATTCCAATAAAGACTGCATCATCGAATTGCAGATCGCGTAGTTCGCTCAAAACCGTAAGAGGAATTGATCCGATCATCGTGGATTCACGCAGTGGACTGGTCACTCGCGGGAATGCTGAAAATTTGCCGTTTGCTGACAAATCGTTCGACATTATCCTGAACATTGAGAGCAGTCATTTATATGTGAGCTGTCAGCAGTTCTTCCGTGAATGTTCCCGGGTGCTCAGTGAACACGGTTTTCTATGCTGGGCTGATATTCACTATACTCATAAGGTATATGGGCAAGGATCGCGGAAGGGTTTCTGTGCAGAGATGTACCTCAATGTAGACTGATTCTGTTTTGAAACTTTTCAGCTGAATTTAACGCTGAATGAAGCGGAGCAATCCGGTCTGCGGCTAATCCAGCTGGAAGACATTACGGAACAAGTGCTGCAAGGCATTGCAGTAACATCGGCAAGATACGATGCGATGCTCCAAACTGCCCCGTATTTCATTCGTTTGTTTCGAAACTCCATACGTGCAACATACTGTGCGCCTGGGACAGAAAGTTATCGGCGTTTAATGAAACGCGAAAAGATCTACATTTGCGCTTGCTGGACAAATCGCTGACTGAGAGCTGTGCGATGGAGCGTACGGTCCTCAAAATACGGTATACATGGGGGACACGTTCCGAGCGTACGATCATGCGAATCTCTGTGACAAGTTGTTCTCTGTGTATGCGTGTATGTAAAGGAAGTGACTGCTCATTGCGAGGATCTTTGATCACGTGATCCTTGTAAATTATCAGTCTGTCCAAGAAATAAACTGTTTAGATTGCAGTGAATATTGAAACGCAAGATTTTCTTTCACGGCCGTCCAATGTAGTACTAACCGTAGTGAAACAGCAGTGCATTCACTAACGTTTATTACATCACCGTAAAAATCGCCCAAATTTTGATTTGTCCCTGTTTCGAATTTTGATTTCGATGTACTCACCACGGTTTAATAATTTTCTGACCATAAATAACCCACATGCTTTCAGATCTTGAGGCGTTGCTTCCTTAAGGCACAACTGCCAGTTTAATTTTCGCACTCCTTCGAGACTTTGGTTGTGTACCATTGCCTGCAATTCGCTGTTTAGCGCCAAGATTCTTCGATTTTCTGTTGTATTTCCATTACATCTCTAGCAGATAAATTAGTTTTGAGTTCTGTGCAAAACTAGTATCCTACTAACTGTGCTTGCTTGAACAGTACTCTTGAAGTGAGATTGGGGAGAGACCTAGATGTTGCTTGTGTTCGTGGGCAGGATCTGGGGACAAGGTAAAGAGGGAGAACGAGGACACAAGTCAGGAACTCGAGGTAAGAACTGAAGACAGCAGTAAAGAACCCAAGCTGGAACGCACCAGGCTCCCCAGTGCGATCATGCGTTTTTGCACTAAACTCGCAGATCGCTATTAGCATGAATGATTCCTACGCTGC